GTACTAGTTATCGGCTTTTTTTTTTTTTCTGACATTCGCCTCGCATTTTCGCTTTTTTTTTTTATGTACTTACATATTTTATATACTTTTTTTTTTTTATAAGCGGTGCAATGGCGACGGCATTTTTTTTTTTCAGCCAAGAAAACCACAAATCTTTCTCTTTTAAATACAGATCACTTCTTAGAACTTAGTTTTTTTTTTTTTGGAATCTGTTTGCTGTCTTCGAGTTTTTTTTTTTTGTGAGCCATTGTAACCAATGCTATTTTTTTTTTTCATGTTTTTGTACTCCATAATTTTTTTTTTTTTTTCGATCTTAATGCCTTGACCCACCATTTTTTTTTTTCCTATTTTGACCCCATCTAAAAAGTTTTTTTTTTTAACCTTGTGTAACATTTACCATGGTTTTTTTTTTTGTTACCTCTCCTACAAATGGAGTGTGCTCCCCAGTTTCCGTTCTTAATCTTCCTCCAGATAATGACTTTACTTCCGTGCTGAACAAGCCAGTTCTTTTTTTTTTTTTCGCTTATATTCTTCCATATATTTTTTTTTTTTTGTGTTACTCGCTTTTCTACCTATTTTTTTTTTTTTGATTATGGGGTATTCAATTGCAGGTTTTTTTTTTTACTTCAAGAGCTGATTTGTAATCGTTTTTTTTTTTTTTTTTCAACAAAACAAAAGTTATTTTTTTTTTTTGTAATATACTTTAATATTAATGATATACAGCATGATAGCTTCTTCCCTTATATTAACAGGCCTATTTTGTTGAGGTAACAAAATTTACTTTGGCATTGAAATTAACCTTTCAGTAAATTTTGTTGCTATTTTTTTTTTTTAGTTCACTGTCACCCTTTATAAGGTTTTTTTTTTTAAATCGTTAAGATCCTCAGCTCGTAGCTCATAGATCTTTCGCTGTACAAGTGATGCTCATTTTTTTTTTTGAGGTTTTCTGTCGTGGTCCTTCTTTTTTTTTTTTTTAGGAAAACTCCTTCTGGTGAATGGTTGACGGTGTGAAAAGCTTTTGACAGATCCAGTTTTTTTTTTTTATTTCACTCGCAGAGTCGATCTTGTTTTTTTTTTTTGACTATATGAGTGTTTATGGCGTTTTTTTTTTTTGTGGTTCTATGAGCTTTTCGGAAGTTTTTTTTTTTAGCTGCTAGTCGCAAGTGGGGAGTTTTTTTTTTTTAAGCAAGGCCTGAAGTGTCTTCGCTAGTTGAGTACCTTGGTGAGAAATTCTGTTCTCGCTTTTTTTTTTTGTTTTGGCATCAGCATGCTTATTATTTTTTTTTTTTTACCCTACGACGTCGGCCGTTGTTTTTTTTTTTTTATGTTTATATAAAGTATCACAAATTTTTTTTTTTCATAGTTTGCTTTTGTTTGCGCATAAAAAACTCTACCGGTACATTATGGAACATAATACTTTTTTTTTTTTTGCACAGTTGCATTTAGTAATACTTTTTTTTTTTTGGTTGCTTTGCAACTAAAGTTTAGAAAATCATCCAAACTGTCGTTCACATTGGCGACATTTTTTTTTTTGCACTACATTACCGCCATGCGCAATTTTTTTTTTTTTGTTTTCATTTTACTGACATTTTTTTTTTTTTTTATGACACCCTCGTATATTCACTGTTTTTTTTTTTTTAAATTTGTATATGATTTACTAGAGCACAGGTTAAACTTTTAACAAAACTTTGGCAGCATTTTTTTTTTTCATTTGCCAGTTGGTAAAATTTAATTTTTTTTTTTCACATTGAAATGGAAGATGGACGCTTTTTTTTTTTTAAGTTTTATTTCTATGTTTAATATTTTTTTTTTTTTTGAACCTTATTATGGTAAACATTTTTTTTTTTTAAAATAAATTAAATAAAAAGTAAATTTTTTTTTTTTCTTCCAAATTAAAATGATAATTTTTTTTTTTTTTACATCCTTACATGCGCAGTTTTAGTTTTTTTTTTTCACACATTTTGGGGTTTATTTTTTTTTTTTTTTTTAATTCAAACAGCTGATTGTCTGTTTTTTTTTTTTTCGGGGGTAACAAAATTTACAGGCTGACAAATAATTCAGAATACGAAATAGCAACAAAATTTTTTTTTTTTCCTATTCTCACTGTTACCGGTAAATTTTTTTTTTTAACTAATTTTAACTCCCGAAAATGTTTTTTTTTTTCTTGAGAGCTGAAAACTTGTTGCATTTTTTTTTTTTTAGTCCTAGTCCAATTAGATTTCTTTTTTTTTTTAGTAAAAAAGTAGAATATTCACTTTTTTTTTTTTTACGTTGCGCAACCAAGTAAATATGTTTTTTTTTTTTGTTTATTAAATCATAAAGATTTGTTTTTTTTTTTGGAAAATATGCCTTAAAGACAAAATTTTTTTTTTTAAAACGCTATCCCCCAAATTAAAAAGAGAATTTTTTCCTCGCAAACTTTTTATCATACGTTTTTTTTTTTTTTTTTCTTCATTTTTAATGATTTTTTTTTTTTTTATATGCTTATTCATTATAATTCTTATTTTATCTTAAGACTAAGGACACAAAATCAAGCATTTTTTTTTTTGTTACCTTCTATATCGCTGGCAAATTTTTTTTTTTGAAGACAGTGAACTCAGAATACGATTTTTTTTTTTATTTTTTGAACGGTAAATTTTATTTTTTTTTTTTTATAGGACTTTGATTGGTAAATTTTTTTTTTTTTTTAAATTTTATTACCTCGACAGATTATTTTTTTTTTTGACAACCCGTTTTCATTATATTCACAGCATTAGCTGTCAAATATGGCCGAATGAAAACCAGGCATAAGTTGGAGATTACATTTAAGTAAAGTAGTTTTTTTTTTTTTTATACACGTGAATATAACTAGTAAAGTGCATTGTAATTGAATTGTGAATTACTGAGTTTTTTTTTTTTATTAGAATCATTAAAGTTGATTCATTTTTTTTTTTACAATATTTAAGCCAGTGCTACCATTTTTTTTTTTAACTGTATTAGTGTAGATTACATGTTTTTTTTTTTATCGATTATGCCTATATTATCCATTTTTTTTTTTTTAACATTATATTATTTTGTTTACATTTTTTTTTTTTGGGACGTCGAAAGTCGAAAAGAATTTTTTTTTTTAAAAAGAAAAATATAGAACCGTTGTTTTTTTTTTTTAACTGCCCATTCTGCAATCATGATTTTTTTTTTTAAGTTAAAATGTAAGTACCAACAATTTTTTTTTTTTAGCTTGAGAAAAAATGATTTTGTTTTTTTTTTTTCAAGCATCCATATCGTGTTTTAATTTTTTTTTTTTTGTAAAAAGTGAATATCCGTTACATTTTTTTTTTTATTAATCTTATTGACTGAATTGCATATTAATAAAATATAATATAGCGAACAGAATGGAACATATATTAAAAAACTAATAAATGGTTTTTTTTTTTTAAATGTGGCCATTAAAATGCTTATTTTTTTTTTTATTCTTGAAATTGGTTTTGAATATTTTTTTTTTTTACTTTAGTATAGAAGAGACTGCAGTTTTTTTTTTTCGGTTTTGTTTTTGAAATGGTCAGTTTTTTTTTTTGAAGGAGGTTGACTTTAGTTCGGAGCGGTAATTATACAGGAGAGCGGTTTTTGCTAAAATTTTTTTTTTTTTATGGGGGTTTTGGCTGAAGGTGTTTTTTTTTTTCGGGTCTTAAAATGTCTCCCACCATTGCACTAGTTGCAGGTAAACAGGACTTGGAGCAATTTTTTTTTTTGGTGTTGATCCGTTGGCAAACTTATTTTTTTTTTTCCTGTTGACTTAAACGAGGTTAGGTCGCCGAAAGGGTGAAAGCCCTTGTCCGGATAAAATCCGGGTCAACTCCGGTACGCAGAACCGGCTGTCTTTTTTTTTTTTTGTTGTTCTTATAATACCCGCTATACCTTAGAATAGTGTTACCTGTTTACTTAGCCGGTTTTTTTTTTTTTTAACTCTGAAGCGTAGAACAGGCTTTTTTTTTTTTTGATAATTTTCCAGCTTGCTGCTTTTTTTTTTTTATCAGTTCCATGCCTGCTTCTAATTTTTTTTTTTTTACATGTATACATATATATTACCTTTTTTTTTTTTTTACTCTTAACTATAAAAGAGAAGTTTTTTTTTTTTTGTTCTGTATTCTCTTAAAGATTTTTTTTTTTTTTACATTGTAAGTTTTATGCATATATTTTTTTTTTTTGTTATTCAAAACTTTGTAGGCATTTTTTTTTTTTGCTGTTATTTCATGTACATATTTATTTTTTTTTTTAGTGTAATTTGTTTGGTTATTTGTTTTTTTTTTTTGGTACATCCTTCTATATTCCTGGCTTTTTTTTTTTTCCGGTAAATACAATTTGCCTACAAGTGTATAAAAACAGATATTTACACAAACCCTTACTTTTTTTTTTTGATCAGGAAGTGGAAGATGTAAGTTTATATTTTTGGTTCGTGATTTATTAAATATGAAATTTTTTTTTTTGAAATAAGCCGAACCGAACCTATTTTTTTTTTTTTATATTCGGTTTGAATTGAATTCCTTTTTTTTTTTTACGGCAACATTCATATTTAGCAAGTTTTTTTTTTTGTTGAAGTAGTCTCCCTTAAGGGATTTTTTTTTTTATTTTTGAATTTCTTTTCCAAAACTTTTTTTTTTTCATAAAATTTGTTGGATAAAATTTTTTTTTTTTTTATTATTTTCCAAATTTATGTTTTTTTTTTTTTTTTCTTAAATTTGCCTGCAGAGTTCAATTTTTTTTTTTATCGATGCAACAAATAAATATCCCTTTTTTTTTTTTTTGTGCCACGATAATTGTCCTCCTTAAACTTAAGTTCAGGGCATGTTTTCGTTTGACTTTTTTTTTTTTATTCTTCGCTACCATGTTTAAACATTTTTTTTTTTAAGCCATCGGCTTTCGTCTTTTTGTTTTTTTTTTTTTAAACAACCGCTATTCGAACTTTTTTTTTTTTTTATATTGGATATCGACTCTGACTATTTTTTTTTTTTAGCGAAGATACGCGTGTGCTTCTGTTTTTTTTTTTACGCCCGTCGAAAAACACGAGGGATTTTTTTTTTTGAAAAGCTGAAATCACAACAGACTGCCGAACGATTTACTACTCGACTTGCACTTCTGCTTTTTTTTTTTTGTCATCAGTAACGCGGTATACAGGTTTTTTTTTTTCACATTTCAAGCTCCCCACGTGCATTTTTTTTTTTAACTATTAAATTTCGCAAAGGTCGTTTTTTTTTTTGGTACGATGAGTACTGTTGCGTCGTTTTTTTTTTTAACAGACTGCCTACCTCACAACTTTTTTTTTTTTTGCAATACGTGCGGAATGGGATAGATTTTTTTTTTTGAAGAGGGAAGCAACACGCATCTGTTTTTTTTTTTAGAAAGAGGGCGAGATTTGTAAATTTTTTTTTTTTGAAAAATTGACCTACAAGGATAATGCTCGAAAATTCTATGAAAACATACAACGACTTACTTTTTTTTTTTTTTGTTTTTCTTAACCTTTAAGCGTTTTTTTTTTTTTATCCTGATTTAATGATACTGATTTTTTTTTTTTGTTGAACCACTACTTGTCACGATATTTTTTTTTTTCTTATTATATAATATATAAAATTTTTTTTTTTTTTAACAGATATAAAATGTTTTTTAAAATATTTCAATTTTCTTAATTTTCTTTTTGTTTTAATTTTTTTTTTTCGAAATACAGCTAAAGTGACTTGCAGAGTTTGCCTCGAAGATTTTCAAACAAGCATAAATTTTCTATCTGAGCCAATAGATGTTTATAACGATTTTTTTTTTTTTTGCGAAACAGCAAACTAATATTCATGTATTGTGAAATTTTTCATATTAACTAACATATGTTTTTTTTTTTCTGCCATCATGGAGTAATCAAAAATTTTTTTTTTTTTCAAATAATAAAAAAAGTAATGTATTCTTTTGATCAAATTCCTTTTCTAATATTCTCGTTTTTTTTTTTCTTATAGTACTGGATGAGTATGATTTTTTTTTTTTGATTCACATAAGAACCAGGAGTTTTTTTTTTTTTTACTTGTGCTTTTTTCGCGATTAGGTTTTTTTTTTTTTGTAGACATTTGTAAAAAAACATTTTTTTTTTTTAAATATTGATATTTATTTGAACTTTTTTTTTTTTTGCTTACAAATAGGGTTTTTATGAATTTTTTTTTTTTCACATATTTTTCTATTGTTTATTTTTTTTTTTTTTAAAAAAAAAATCATAAATATATATTTTTTTTTTTTAATCGAATGAAATCGCTCCACCATTTTTTTTTTTTTTGAATGATGGAAGTGATATACATTTTTTTTTTTGCTGTAATGATAAATTTACTTTCTTTTATGATAAACAGCTAGAAATATGAAAATTCGATTTTTTTTTTTTTAAAACTATTATGAACTGTAATTGAATAAAATATAAACAATCAAAATGAACATTATTTTTTTTTTTTTTTACAAACAAATTTACAAGAAAAACGTTTTTTTTTTTGTAAGTAGAAAATATCTCTTGAAATTTTTTTTTTTAAATTATAAACATGTTTTTTTTATTTTTTTTTTTTCGATGAGTACGAAGTGACGATGAAAATTAACAATCGCCAGCGAAAACGTGTTCGAATTCTTTTTTTTTTTGAAAGTATACCCTGCAAGACTTCCTTTTTTTTTTTCCTACATATGTCAGGGATGCACGATTTTTTTTTTTGTCAGCTCGTAGAACGAAAGTGAATTTTTTTTTTTTTCTCTCTTTTCCTTGTGAATTTTTTTTTTTTTTTTCGGACAAACAACACAGCTGAGCGTTTTTTTTTTTACGAAAAGTAAGCAATATGGACGTTTTTTTTTTTTAACAGTGCCGTACAAGCCGAACACTTTTTTTTTTTAGCATTGATGTCGAAGAAAGTCAGTTTTTTTTTTTATTTTCCCTACATATATACATGCATACAAACATTATTAAGATTCAGTCTTTAATTCAATTTTTTTTTTTTAATTATGGGCATGGTTTACATAGCTTTTTTTTTTTATAACAATACAAAAATAAATAAATTTTTTTTTTTTATCAGCAAAATATAAGAAAAACCGCAAATACGGAAGAAGTCTTTAGTATTCGCGCTAAGCTCTACGAACGCCTCCGTCCTAATCGGAGCTCCTTTTTTTTTTTTTGACATATAAATGGAAAAAAATTATTTTTTTTTTTTAATGCTATTAATGTATAAATGCAGTTGTACCTTGCACAGTTTTACTGAATATTTTAAAATTTTTTTTTTTAGCAAGATGAGAAGCGTCCATTACTTTTTTTTTTTTCTATTAGCTGATCTTTTCGTACGTTTTTTTTTTTCCTTAAATAAAAAAATGTAAAAAGCAATGAAAAATGAAGTATTTAATTAATCCAAAATATTTTTTTTTTTTAGTTTTACAGGATCCTTATCATGTTTTTTTTTTTTCTATCTACTGCCGAGAAAACGATTTTTTTTTTTTTTCTACTCGAAAATAAGAACATAATTTTTTTTTTTAAGCCGTTCAACTGCATTCTTTTTTTTTTTTTTTTCACTCAGAAGAGAAAGATAAACCATTTTTTTTTTTTATGTGTTAGTGCTGCCCGAAACCTTTTTTTTTTTTTGGTGAACCCATCAGCGCCTAATTTTTTTTTTTTTGATGCAAGATTATTAGGCGAATTTTTTTTTTTTTAACTTCTCTGTAATGATGACATTATTTTTTTTTTTTCATGCAAATAAGTTGCTTTTCGGTGAAATGGCTATAATATAAAAAAGATCAAAAAATTTTTTTTTTTTTTTAAAAATGCGCATAAATCTTGCGTTTTTTTTTTTGTCTCTTGCCTTGCTTTTGTTCGCACATCAATAATTTTGCCGATGCGTTTTCGAACATGTTTTTTTTTTTAGCACAGTTGCATTTAGGAATGCGTAAAAATGTATGTTTGTTTTTGAACTCGCCCATTCTTTTTTTTTTTAACATCAGAAGCTCTATTACGATTTTTTTTTTTTTCAAATTTTAGGAACGGAGAAAATTTTTTTTTTTTTCGAAATGCAGAATACGGATGAGTATTTTTTTTTTTTTGACAGGTTAATAAATTCATCAATTTTTTTTTTTATTTTTCGATGTCTCGAAATTCTGTGTGTTTTCATTTAATTCCAAATTTTTACCGAGCCTTTTTTTTTTTACAAGAAAGAAAAACGCACTAGTGTTTTTTTTTTTATCACCAAGTAAGCGGTGTGTTCTTTTTTTTTTTTAGCATTGGCACCGCTTACATCATTTTTTTTTTTTTAATATTAGCGCGCCATTAATCTCTTCTCTTCGCTGTTTGGCGCTAGTTAGAAATACCTATTTTTTTTTTTCCACCACCAGCACTGTATCAAATATTTTTTTTTTTTCATCCATTCGGAAGACATGACATTTTTTTTTTTTTACGGCTCATCGTTGCATCGTCTGTTTTTTTTTTTGTTGACAGTTCGCAAAGGACCATATTTTTTTTTTTAAAATTTTTTTCGAAGCCTCGACGTTTTTTTTTTTGTCCACGCTTCTGCGCCATATAGCTTTTTTTTTTTGATGAGCGACTTGTTCGATTTTCGTTTTTTTTTTTGGGACTTTGCTTTTAAATTGCCTCTTCAGTCCAAAGTAGCACCTGTTGGTAAGAGTGATTTTTTTTTTTTTTTGCTGTTGATGTTAATACTGGTTTTTTTTTTTTCGAAGCTATCTATGACTTGAAAGTTTTTTTTTTTTATATGACGTGGGAGACGAGTCGCGTTTTTTTTTTTTGTTAGTGTTATGACAGGAGATATTTCATCTTGACCTCACTCACTACCAGACCCATATCTTTTTTTTTTTTACACCAGCAGCTGTACATTCTTATTTTTTTTTTTACCTTCTCTATCAGCTCTGCAGCCTTTTTTTTTTTCTCCAGCAATACATTAAAAAAGTCTTTTTTTTTTTTCCACCTGCATGATACCTCGTTTGTTTTTTTTTTTCACGGAGAGGTCGTTCCCGATCCTAACTGAGATTTTAGTGTTGCTTAACGTCAGTTTACTTTTTTTTTTTGTGGAAATACTAAATTCAGACACATTTTTTTTTTTCTTCTTATAACGGGTTTTTTTCAATTTTTTTTTTTTGGTGAATATCTGGTCAATGGTTGATTTGCCAGGTCTAAAGTCACACTGATAAGATCCATTTTTTTTTTTGACGGTGGGCTTTAATCTTTCAAATTTTTTTTTTTATAAAATCACTATATTTGAGTAGCTTTTTTTTTTTTCCATCTGTCCTCGCCGCTTTGTTTTTTTTTTTTTGGGCGATTGCTATTCAGACTTCTTTTTTTTTTTTTAACGGAACAATTTTTCCATCGTCTTCAAGCGGTGTCTACGCCAGTTAAAAAGAAGAAAATTTTTTTTTTTGTTTCACACAAATGCAAGGGGTAATAAAGCTTAGTCTGAACCGCCTCGCTGGGAGGAGTTTTTTTTTTTTGCTGAGGGGCGAATGCTATTAAAATTTTTTTTTTTATTTTTTATTTAAATTAATTTCCCTTTTTTTTTTTCAGAGTACGCATTGTTAACAAATCGGCTACCACCTTTGCCTTTCGTAATATTACTTCCATTTTTTTTTTTGTCTATCGAACCGTTTTTGTAAATTTTTTTTTTTTTGAAAGATTTGATGGATGCGAACCTTTTTTTTTTTTGTGCCATGCGAGAGTGTTATATATTTTTTTTTTTTTTGGATAATGGGCCATAACTGCGTTTTTTTTTTTAAAAGCATCTTCGACAGAAATGTGTTTTTTTTTTTCCCCGACTAAGAGACATTCACAAATTTTTTTTTTTGATCGACACAAGAAGATTCATCAATTTTTTTTTTTCCCCTAATCGAAACACAACCAGATTTTTTTTTTTTTGATAGACGGAAGACATGTCTGTATTTTTTTTTTTGTGTGTACACACCGATGACCCAACTTTTTTTTTTTACATTATCTTGTTGCAGCGAAGATTTTTTTTTTTTTCTGTGTATTGAAGAACGCTCGTCAACAAACTCAAGGAAAGTTTGACGTTGAAAAACTGTTTTTTTTTTTGACTGCCGAACGATTTTTAACTCGTTTTTTTTTTTTGCTCTCTGAAAGCACTCATCACTTTTTTTTTTTTGGGGATCTGTGGGACGGAACCGCATTTTTTTTTTTTACAGCTGCAAACGAAACTAATGGTTTTTTTTTTTGTCGCGAAAACAGATGGTACGATGTTTTTTTTTTTGTCGCAGTAAAGAGAAAACAGACTTTTTTTTTTTTAACCTTGTGACCGACCACAACACGTGCGCACAGTAGCAAAGATATGCACCAATGGTACTTTTTTTTTTTTTAGGCACTAGCCAGAATCTCGGTATTTTTTTTTTTTGGGACGACATTTCAAGCTCCCTATTTTTTTTTTTAAAGTTTATTGGGTTTCGGAAAGTTTTTTTTTTTTGCAGCTGGTATAATGAGGACTGCCTTTTTTTTTTTGAGAAAAAACAAGCATCAGATTCTTTTTTTTTTTTGATCGGACTAAGGCATGCTTCGTGTTTTTTTTTTTAGAGAGACCCCACAGAGAAAAGAGTTTTTTTTTTTCGAGCTGAATAGAGAAACGACTACTTTTTTTTTTTCCATTCCCACTTCTTTACTGCTCATTTTTTTTTTTTGCGACCTGCAAAATCCTCAGGTATTTTTTTTTTTGAAGGAGTAACGGTTCGAAATTGATTTTTTTTTTTTTCGGCAATAAATATACAACCCTCTTTTTTTTTTTTGACAAATTAAGAAATTATTGATATTTTTTTTTTTTTGTTATCAAGTA